GGCAGGGGCTTGATTTGCACCTCTCAACTGGCTTTACAGAAATACTACACCAACAAAATGGCCATAATCGCACTCCACATCAGAATCATAATGACAGTTCACACATATCTAGCACATTCTTATTAAGGCTCCCACAGAGCTTTACACATGTTTAATTAATTTAGTCTGAGAGGTAGGTGCTTTTTCCCAGCTGAGAAAAAGAAGGAATGGAGAGATTTACTGACTAATCCAAAGTCACATGAAAAGTATTTTGCAGAACTTGTCATGGAGTTGGAATAGGTCTCTAGATTTCTTGTCCCGAGCCTGGAGCACAAAACCATCATTCCTTTCCTGAGATTCTTCCTTCCCATTAAATTAAATCTGCTTTCCTATCATTCTTGCTTTATAGTCTCAGTAACTGCAGTCTGCAGGCTAGAAAAGGCAAGACTACCTTCTACCCAAATTATCTGCAGTGGGTGGGTGGAGAGAAAATTTGCCTCTTTTGTAGCCTACTTCTGGATCTATTCTGTGAAGTTCTATTGAAAAGTAACTTTGAAGTTTGTCAAAATGAGGGCCACTGTATATTAAATAGGTCGTCTGTGTGATCATGGTTCTCCCACTCATTATTAATGATTCCTTTGAGGATTGTTACTGAAAGTCTCATCACCTGGCTATTATTCCTGTCATGACAGAAATTTCCTATTTGAAACCCATTTTCAGCAGCATGGACATTTTATATTGAAGGTACCAGCCTCACTAATAAAATAAATCTGGGACATTATACACATAGCACAGGAATAATGAATGGAATATGTCCATGTGATTTATGGTTAATAGAGGTGTTCAACAATATAACTCTTCCTACCTGGTGAAAATTCATTGGACAGATTAACTGTCTTCAGGTCTGCTACATGTACTAAATTTATGTTGGAGTCTAGACAAATAGTCAACAAATGAATTGAGTTGATCCATTGCCGTTAGACAGCCATAAAACTGAAAGTCAGAATACTGAGAAGGATATAAAACTAACCACTGTCAACTTGAAAAAAGATAACAGGTGAACAAAGAAGTGAGCCTAAATTCTGAACCATTACTTCGTTTGGGAGGTTGAAGTTCATTTATGTTTGAAACTGGATCTGAACGGCTTGGTGAATTTGGCTCTAAGTCAGAGATAGAACTGGAAAGGGCATGTTTCCCCGCCAGATTTAATCACTGTGAAATCCAAATGCTACTCCTGATTCTCGCTCAAGCCTGAACACTAGTTTAGCCTGAAATGAAACCAGATCCACATGCAAACACAGTTTCGTCTGTTCAGATCTGCAAAAGATGTACCACTGACCAGCATGACCAGGAATGGCACAGAAGACAGCTGGAAAATAGAAGTTAAATAGCTGCTACTGGACTTCATAGATTGGATCTTCAGTACTGGCAATCGGCACATTAATGAACTGAGAGTTATAACTGAAACTGTAAAGGGCTCTTTAAATGAAAAGGGTTCTGAGCACCTGCAGAGCAGTGAAAATGACAATCTATGTAGATGGTAGTTAGAGACTGATTTGAAGGTCCCACGTGAGGTGTTCAAAGGTTTCAGAATTTTTTGCAAAAGGAACAGGAGTCAGAGGTGCAGAATGCAGCTATTATAGAAGAACCCTCTCATAGAGTGCCCTTCCAGTTTGGTGAGCTTTGGTTATTGGTAACTACAGAATAAGAAACAGATTCACGTTAGGGATGTGAACAGGTAACTGGTTAACAGTAACAGGTGATGCTTACTGGGGAATACTTACCAGGTAACGATTAACTGTTGTCTGGGAGCAGCCTCCTGCCCTCTTAATTTAGTTTAACAGGTTAACTAATTAAATGGGATTTTACATCCCTAATTCTCATACACCATTATATATTTTCCTGTATGTTATGGTCTACAGCATTTTTCTATTTGCAACCATGGATGTTGCCAGACCAGAAAGCAAAATAGCATTATCCATCCAGTTATAATGGATTATACTTAAGTGTATGGAAGGATAGAACTAGCATTTTCAGTACTCTCTGTTTGCCCATAAATCTTGTACAGTTAGACCTCCCTGGTCTGGCACCCTTGGGACCTGTCCAGTCCTGAATGAGGGATTTTGTTGGACCTGGGGAGGTCAATGTCCCTAATGGTTGCCGGCCCCTACTTCCAGGCTCCCTTTCCAGCTGCCAACTTTGCTGCTAGTCCCAGCCACTGGGCTCCGCGTCTATCTCCTGCTGGGCTCCTGGCTCACCTCCTCTTCCAGCCCAGCTGTGCTCATGACTGCTGGCTCCCTGGCTGGGCTCCCTGGCTGGGCTCCTTCTGCCGCCAGACTCCCAGATGGTTCCCTCCCAGCCGTAGGGACTTTCTGGCCTGGCAACGTCCATGGTTCTGTCAAATCACAGATGTGGCCGGACCAGAGTTCAGGACCACAGCAGTTCAAGTGTAGTACTTGCATAGGTGGGTTTTTCACTCTTTTACCAGATGCTCTGTGTTGGTACAATGTGTACAGTAACGGCGCTCTGATCTTAGTTGGAACTCTAAGTGATTCTGTAATAAATTAATTGTTGTTAGTGGTATTAGTCTTTCTTGCTTCTTTTATGTTTATTCATATTTTGTAATGAAAGACACTAGCCAACCCAAGCTGAAAGCCTTATTCTCTAGCAACATATTGGTGTATAGTTTTATACAGAATTAGTGGTACATGCTGGAGGTCCACACAGAAATGCTGCAGCAGACAGTAATGCAAAAGGATTGCCATATTGCAGGGCACATGACAGATGAGGAAGACATAAATCTGCTTTTGTTGACAGCAGAAAGGAGAATGATTTTACTGCTCACTCACACATATGTCATATGCTGAAGTACAAAGATGTCTAGGAATAGCCTGTGGAAGTCTGTAGAAAGCATTGTTGAGAAAAAAAAGTTGCCTTTGTGAAATATGTCAGCTATAAACTGGCTAGAGATTCCTGTTCTCAGCTTTTTAGCAAAGCTCTGTAAGATTCCATCCCACAAAGTCTACACTATTAAGGACTCTCTGTGGCTGATAAGAGATGGATTTTGGTTCTCACAAAAGTGGACTGGACTGTTAGAGATGTGCTGGGATGAAGCATTGTTATGACATAGCATTCCAGATTAAAGCACAGGGGAGCATAGAGACAATACTGGTCAGTTCAAATCAATTCCTGCTTCAGTGGAGAGTTTAGATGAAAAAAAGGCAAACAGGGTTTGGCTGCACCTAGTAACGCAGGAGTGTTTCTGTGGACAGGAAATAAGTCACACACACACACAAAAAAGGGAGTGATTCCTCTGTAGACAATTATTTTATATGACAGAGGAATTTCAGTGGGAAAAATATCAGTGTTCTCTTGTTGGAAAAAAATCAGACCATTGTTTTGCCTTTGTCATATCACCCACAACAAGGTTTATGTGTAAAGCTATTCCAGTGACAGTTTAAAGCTGTTAAAAATACTTGCTTTTACTTTGTCTTCCATTGTGTGACAGTGATATACTGCCTGTCAAGTCCAGTGGGTTTGCTCTATGATGCTAGAATTCTGTGGGAAATCTGGGTTTATTAAATGGCTCAATCAGCATCTTTTGAAGGCTGTAGTGGCCAAATCCTGCGTGTGAATGATCCAAATTTTAGTCCAAATTTCTGCAACTGTTGCATTTGTAGCCATAGGACTGTTGCAGAATTCCAACAGGAGTAGAATTAAATCAATTATATTAGTTACATAAATTACACCATCCTGACCCCCTTCCTGGAACCAGCACCCATACTCCCTCTGGTATCCCACCTCCCCTCCCAAAAACACCAACTCCCTGTTTCAGCCCCATAAAGTGGAGTGAGGGTAGGGGAGAGCGAGTGAGAGACAGACAGAGGGGGAATGGAGTAAGTGGGACAGGCCTTTGGGGAAGGGACTGGGCAGACTTGGAGTTGCCGATGATAGGCAAAGAGCACTGACAATATTAATGTTATCATTGCATACAGAAAACTGTACTCATTTAAAATTGAATTAAAAATAGTCAATTAAAAATAACAAACTACTGAAGATAGTAATGTCCAGAAAACATGTAATGAAAAAAGCAGTTCTGGTTGCATTTTATTAGTTACCAATAATGAAAACTCATCAACTTGGAATGCCATCCTTTGGAGTGATTCTCCTGCTATAATTGCTTCTTGCTATACATTTGACTTGTGGTGTTCCTTCTGCAAAATTTCTAAAATTCTTACATACCTACATGGGATTCCTTAATCTAGCCAGGATACATACATGCGCCCCCTCCCATATGGGAACAGCATGGTGGTTGGGACTTCCTATCACTTACTAGAGGTTGCAACACCATACTGAAAACCTCATGTCTACATATTTAAAAGAACAACCAGTGCTGAGCAGCAGACTGAAGGAAACAAGAGAAAATATTCCAATTATTAACACAAGAGAATGGTCATCTGATTTGAACCATTTCAGTGTATACTGCAAGCTCCTTCACAGCAAACACTATTTCATGTAACACTTATCTAATAATCAATAGAAAACGGATGCTCATTTGTACGAGTCTGGTGCCTGTGCTAAGAATGTAGAATTTCTATCTATATTTTTACAAAACGTAGCCTGTCAGAGACAATGTCAAACTGAATCTGTGCCTTCATGGTATTTTTGTCATAAAAAATAACAGCTTCACATAAATCATGAAAGACGGGAAGAAACATGAAATAGCAAGTTGAACAGAAGAAAAGCAATACTGGTGACTAAGATATATTATTTTCAAGAGTTTTAGCTGAGTATTCTAGGACACATTTCCTCAAGCCCTGGTTACTTGAAGACATCTAACTTCTCTAAGGAATTTTTAACTTGTTATTTCCCCATTTTAGCTTCTGAACCATCACCATTTTAACTGGCATTCACTATGTTAGGCATCCGATCGCCACCAACAGAAAATGAAAACAAAATCATTAAGCACCTGTGCCATTTCTACATTTTCTGTTACTGTTTTCCCCTCTTATTGAGTAATGGACCTATGCTGTCCTTGGTCCTCCTTTTGCTTTTGGTCATTTTAAAATCATTTACAGGTGTAGGCAACAACTTCAGGAGAATACTTTACAAGATTTTGTTGCTATCAAATCCAAACTTGAACTCTATTTGAAATCTAAGCCAGATCCAAACATTGACTCTTTATATCATCTTTATTTGCAACAGTTCACTTTCTTGTCATACATAACTTTTTGCTATATTAGGGCAAACAGCAGGAAAAAGTCTTAGTCAACATATTCACTCACCTGAATCATGCCTCAATCAGACCATTTTCAGAGCCTTTTCTTTTTTCTTTTCCATAAACATTGGTATTTTGCTTAGGGTGGAACTTTTATTCAAACATATTCAGGTACTTGTGCACTAACAAGAATATTCACACTTATGTTAGATCATTCAGTCAGGGAACATAAATCAGATCATGTGACTTAACTGTCTAATTACACAGCTCAAAGCACAGATTCAGAACACTGAATGTTTGATATGGTGCCCATTGTGAACAGTGTGTAAGTAATGCACAAGCCCAAATGTTTGAGGAAAATTATTTGAATATCAATAATGAGAAAAAAATTAGTAAAATTCATGATCTGCAAAAAATGTCCTCAAATAGAAAAGGCAATAATTAAATTGCTGGCAACATACACTTCCATCAGTTGTAGCACTGTGTAGGTGCTATCTACAGGCTACAGAACTACTTAAGAGTGCAAATTGCATATACATATCTGTACACTTTTCTTGTGTGGCTAAGAGCAGATATTTTATCAGATCTTGTAAGTTTTCAGGCACAACTGAGTGTGCTCATTTAAATCTCACAGTATGTTGCTACGTGAATACAGACGGTGATTTGAGTCAAATTCTTCTTGTTTATGTCGTCTGCTGCTCTGTATAGTTTATTAGGGTTGCATAAGTTTAACAGAGGTTAGAACCTGGCTCTGTGTTTATAGTTTACCCTAGGCATACTATTAAACATACATACATAGACACAAGCCTGTTTTGTAAACATTATTTTTTGTAATCATGCTTATAGCTGCAGATAATTTGGGCTGATCTACATCCAAACTAAATATACAAAGATCCATTTTGATGACCGTAAGAAAGTAGCCCTGATTAGAATACAATTGCTGCTCCTGGCAAAAGAGGCATGCTTTCCACATACATTACAAATTTGTATAAAAATGTGTAAATCGAAATGAAACATACATCTTCTGTATTTAAAACTTCACCAGTTGTGTACATGTGAGTTCATTTATATCTATCACCCTGTTCAACTTTTTAGTGGCATTTCTCTAGCAGTTTTTGTAGCAAAGCTGAAATGAATATAAACCCAACACACAAAGCAAGGCATGGTGCATTTTAATTTTTTTCTTAATCTCTCATATTTAGAGAAACAACTGAAATAAGCAGTGAGAAAAGAGAATAAAATTTAGTGCTGACTTGACAAGTAATATTTATTACTGCTCTCTTCAGCAATGCTGGACTTTTGCCAGTACTGTCCAAACCATATGATTCCAAGGTGCAGAAACTGCAGTGATGAGAACATGGTCATTTTCTTAGTAACATGTGCAGCAGATTGGGCATAAATCAAGATGTAGATTGGATACATGTGTGGGATGTTGAACAGAGGCAGCTGATGCAAGACAGAATGAAGAACTGCACTGCAGGGAATAATAAAAAATGCATATTATTGAATAAACTTTTCACAATGGGTGGTACAGGGTCAAATGCAACATTTGGACATGATCTAGATGGTGTCTTGGTCCTGTCATGAGGGGAATGTACCTCTCAAGGTCCCTTCGAGTCCTAGTATTCCATGAGTTTATGATTTTGTGAAGGTTTAGATAAAGCATTAAGAGCATTAATTCTGCTCTCAGATCCACATCCAGGATTTCAACTCTACTCTTTCTACATGCAGCTCAATTTGATGTAAAAGAGTAAACACCAAATAAAAGCTGCAGCGCTGAAGACAGTAGAGAATTTGGTCACAGAAGCATACTTTTGATTATTTATTTGTACGAGGAGTCTGGCTAAATTGCATTCCGCTAATATGTGCATTTCATGATTTGCACTCAAATATGTCTTCTCTTCCATGCTCCAGCAAAAAGGCAATACCGGAACATCAGTGTAAAATCATCAACACATGTTTTCACACACCTGTCTTGTAAAACAAAATAAGTTAAAAAAAAGGCCCCAAATCATCAGCTAATTTAAAAATAGGAAAAAATCCACTGATTTCAGTGTATCTGTGCACATTCACTCCAGCTGAGGATCTGCTTCAAAATTCACAGCAAAATGCTATGAATGTTGCGGTATAAGGGACTTATTTACATCTGTGTTAGGATTGGTGCCCTTTGAAGACTGTTGTCTGATGTTTAGAAAAAGTAACAAGAGTTATTTCAGGGATGCCAGGGAGAAGCCTGCTCTTGAAGACAGTGACAAATATCTATTGACTTAAGCGTGCAGGCCTATATCTCCCTATTCCTTCTACTATGTTGTTATATTAGTGGCTTAATTTGTCATTAAATAAATAAAACACACAATTCTGTTTAGAATTCCTCTGACTGCCATCAATAAATATTTCACCACTTTGGTATCAGGTCAGACATGCACATAGGGCATTGCTAACTGCGGCCAATTGAAAAAAAGGGAACCTTTCCATTGACTTTCATCGGTTTTAAATCAGTCATCCAATTTTTGTACAGGATTTAAGAATTTCACCCAACAAATGGATTTTCTCTTCAGCCGTGCCATTTCCAACACTCTTTTTATCTTGCTGTTAACTTGGCAGGATGCAGTCTTGTAATTGTAAGTGCCATTCCACTTTTGTACAACAGGGAACTGTACTCTCACTATTTTATGCAGCAGTTATATATACCTCTCTATATTCTGCCACGACCAGTATGGTATTGTATTATTTTGAGCTAGGCCTCCAACTCAATTTTTTTCAGACAAGACCAGAAAGGTTCTGACTAAATCATTTTTAGACAATCTGCTTTGTCCATAGGCAATTCATAAAGACGAACAAATGCAAAATTTCCTGAATAATTTTTTTCACAAGATATTCTCCTCCATGTAATTCTCTCTCTTCCCTATTCTTTCTCCTCTCATCTATGCAGCAATTTTCTACAAGTGACAGAGTTCACCACTTGCTAATCCTGAGGTACATTTCTCCAATTGTATCGTTCATCCCACTTTAGCAATCTTCATTTTACTTGTTGTTTTAACAAACTTTTTAATCTTAATGGGTTTTCACCAGCTATTGTTCCTTCACTAGAGTTGAGGAACCTGATTCTTAGTTGGTGTAAACTGCCATCGCTACACTGAAGTTAATGGGGCTATGCCTATTCACAGCAGCTGAGGATCTGACTGAAATGTTGAAAAGGTGGGCAAGCTATTTTAATCTGTTTGCATTTGTTCACTTCCAGGTGATGTTGCAAAGTTCTAAGTGCTATTTGGAATTTGACAGCTTCTGGAGCTTTAAGAGAGCCTGAGCTTTGAGAGGGCCCCTACCAAAAGGACTACAATTAAAATAGCTGCTCCAGGACTCCGACCTCATTCCCAGCATGCTTGGAGTCAGGAAGAAGGGCAGATGCAACTAGAACCCCCTGCTGAGGACAATAGGGAATTGTCAGCATAGGGCAATCTGAACAAGCGGTCTGAGGACCAAAGACAAGAGGCTGAACAGCTCCCAATGTAACACCTGGCTCAGGGAGGTGCCAGGGAGGAACTGAAGTTTGCGCATGTTGGGAGGCAGGAAGTGCCTTTATTTATCAATATCAATTAATAATGAATTAACCTTAACCCTTCCATTCTTCAGATCCTAGTAGATAATTCCCAGTAAAGTCCCCCTTTGTTACGCTATTATTTCTGTTCTAATTCCTTTGCAGGGAGTTTATTTACTTTATTGTTCCTTGCGTAATGGACTTGATTCCTTCCAAGTTAGCAATATTATCATTGATTGTCTCAAGGGTCAGCAGGCCTGGGCATATGGCAGTGTTTCTCAAAGCGGTCTGCGGATCCACTCTGAGTAACCTGCTAATTGGATGCTCCGGTTTGTTTATTTACCAGTTCTGGAGCCACGGATCCTTGCGGCTCCAATTCACTGTTTGCTGCCAAGGGAAGCGACGTAGGCTGGGTCACCAATTCCTGCAGCTCCCCTTAGCTTCAAACAGCAAACCAGAGCCAATGGGAGCGGCAAGGCTCCGCGTCTATGAAGCCAGTAAATAAACAAACCAGAGCAGCCAGTTAGCAGGTTTCTCAGAGTGGATCCATGGACTACTTTGAGAAACACTGGTGTGTGGAGGAGTCACTGTAAGTGGAGACACCAGATGCTAGAAAAGAACCCAGATCTCAGCCCACATGAGGAAAGGGCAGAAAATGCTTCAAATACTACTGACTGTAAACACCAGGGAGAGAAAAGGAAGGAGGCTTAATCCAAATCTCAGGGGTGGGGCTGCCAGTGTCTATATAAGCAGATTTGGGGAAGGAGCCAAGAAAGTGTTAAAGGGTAGGGCAGGAATCTCTGTTTAACCCAACAACTACCCAGAGATGCTGTGAGGAGCAGTGGAATTCTGAAGCCTGATTGTCCTCTCATACCAGAATAAATCAGGGCTGAAGTTGGTGCTATAAAATGGGTGTAAGTAAGAGAAGAATCAGTCCCTGGACAATGAAGTCTATAGAATCTATTCTAGGTGAGAACTTTGTGCTCAGGATTTTTCAGTAATTTGTTTTAATGTCACAGACTTAGGCTAGAAATGGACTTACTGTGACCCAACGCATCCTGTATTCATACCTCAAATGCTATTCTAATAATCTTTGTATAAAATATGCCTTGTAAGGTATCATCTGAAGACAAATAATTTGTGGCTTAATAGTATCATGATGAAATGTGGGTAGCAATATTGTATGCAGTTTTGAACAGAAGCTGAAATATGACTGAAATGTGGTTACCAGACAAGTCTTGGGGGATGGAGGAGGGGGGTCAAGCTGTTTCTCAAAAACAGAAGGCATCTAGTCAGGCATCAAAGCTGATGGTGAATCACCACTCAAGTGAAGGGGGACAGGAACAGTTAGATTTGCATTTTTAACAAACTGATAGCATGGGACTTCTTTCACTGGGAGATTCCTTGTGACTCTTCTCACAGCTGGGGGTACTTTATAGAGAACTCTCAGGACAGTGCATTTCAAAGATTGACTAGATTGTAAAAATCAGGGCACAAACATTTCTCTTTTGTCCAATAAGACAAAGGATTCATCAGTTCTATCAGCAGTCTGAGACTCATGGCCCTCTGGCCACTCGCAACTGGAGCAGATACACAATCCAGCCTGGGAGTAGGGGTTGCTTGTTCCAGTCCCCCTAGCCACACTTCTTTTTACCTCTGCCCCACTCTCATCCTACTCCGGCCCCATGACTTCGAGGATTGTCAGGGTGGTTTTTAGGGAAAAATCCTTGATTGGGAGTGTGGAGGGGTCACTGAGGCAGCAGTTATCAGTGTTTGTTGTCAAGCTGCTAGGGGCAAAGTGTCTGGATCAGTACTGTAGCTATACACAGACACTCAGGCTACGTCTACACTGGCCCCTTTTCTGGAAGGGGCATGTAAATTTCATGAGTCGTCGTAGGGAAATCCGCGGGGGATTTAAATATCCCCCGCGGCATTTAAATAAAAATGTCCGCCGCTTTTTTCCGGCTTTTAAAAAAGCCGGAAAAGAGTGTCTAGACTGGCCCCGATCCACCGGAAAAAGCGCCCTTTTCCGGAGGGTCTTATTCCTACTTTGAAGGCTCTGAGGCTTTGCTCTGGCAAAGCCTCAGAAGCGCGGGAACCCGCCCGGTGCCCCTGGTCTGCTGGAGACGGTCTCCAGCAGACCAGGGGCACCGGAGCAGCTTTCGCCCCGACTTCCGGGGCTAGACCCGGTATCTATCTTCGAGATGCTGACTCGAGTATAAGCCGAGGGGGGCATTTTTCAGCACAAAAACTGTGCTGAAAAACTCGGCTTATACTCGAGTATATACGGTACATTCTTGATAAAGCACACAGCTAAGTTTTAGAAACATGGGCTCAAAAAAACCTACCCAAAGGGAATACATGGCATTGTTATAGACATTGGCTCATATTGTACATTTTCCTGGTATGGAAGGAAACAAACTAATATTAAAAACAGGGTGCTTTGCTGTGTTCATTGTGGAAGTGCTTTCTTTCCCATGAGGTGTGGGACCGGGGGGTGGACACTGGCAGAAGTACAGCAGATTCTGAGGGGAAGAGGCCACAGAACAATAATGTATGGAACTCAATTAGCCGCACTGAAAATCCTTCCTTGTATCACTGGTTTCCCCGAATGCCAGCAGTGGCAGCACAATGCATTGTTACAGTCTGATCTTCCTAAGGGGGTTTACAGAACAAGGAGCAGAAGTAAATATTGCTTCTTCCACCAACATTAGCTGTCAGCAACCTTAGCCCAGAAAGGTCTGTAGATTCCTCTGGAAAACAAGTTCTCCAATCTCACTCCCCACATACACACTGGAAATGAGTGAAAAGAACGTGATAGAAGTCCAATTGCCTCTATCCTCATGCACCAGAATGTATTGATGTCCTTACCATCCTCTTCTTATCAGGAGAAGAGGGAGCAGTGATACCATCATAGAGGGGGAAAGATTAGAATG